CGTCATCTTCAAATCCATCATAGGTCTGCCATGCTAACACAAACCTCAGCCCGCCTCAATGCCCTCATCTCCGATGAAGTCGTCGAGTCCATGCGCCTCGAGCTGCCGCAATCCACCGAATGGACCGAAGTCAACATCAACGCCAAACTTCTCCGCATCATCGCCATGGCCTCCGGCCGCGTCTTCATCGGCCCCGAACTCTGCAGAGACGAGCGCTACCTCGACGCCTCCATCAACTACACCATCGACCTCATGACCGCAGTCCACGTCGTCGCCTTCCTCCCTGGTCCCTTGCGCCCCATCCTCGCCCGCTTCCTGCCCCAGGTCAAGCAGCTGAACCGCCGCATCGCGGAGGCCGAGGCCGTCTTCCGCCCCATCGTCGACGCCCGCAAGCAGGCCAAGGCCGCCGGCGGCGACGACTACCAGGAGCCCGACGACATGCTCCAGTGGATGATGAACGCCCAGTCAAAGTTTGGACAGTCGACTAACCGCCAGCTGGCGCAAAACCAGCTGGGCATCAGCTTTGCCGCCATCCACACCACCTCCTTGACAACGACCAACGCCCTCTACTGGCTTGCCGCGAAGCCCGAACTGATCCCGATCCTGCGAGATGACGTCCAGCAAGCCCTCCTCGAGTCTGGCGGCCAGTTCTCCAGCCCGGCATTGCAGGGCATGAAGAAGCTCGACAGCTTCCTGCGCGAGGTCCTCCGATGCTCCCCTCTTGGCGCCGGTCCGTTAAAAAACCCCCGTTACCCAAAGTCCCCTTTTACAAAACTAACAACCACCCAATAGGCTCCTTCTCACGCAAGGTCCTCAAGGCCATCAAGCTCCCCAACGGCCAGGTCATCCCCCCGGACAACGTCATCGAAATCCCCGCCGGCGGCGTCAACCTCGACGACGAGATCTTCCCCGACGCCGAAGTTTTCGACGCGCTGCGCTACTACGAGCTGCGCCAGGCCAAGGACGCCGCCGAGTCCGGTTCCAAGGCCGCCGAGGTCGTCGCCAACAGCCAGTTCGTCAGCGTCGGCACCTCCCACCTCACCTTCGGCTACGGCCGCCACGCCTGCCCCGGCCGCTTCTTCGCCGTCAACGAGATCAAGATGATCATGGGCAACATCCTCTGCAACTACGAGATCAAGCTCCCGGACGGCGTGACTGAGAGATACGAGAACATCAAGTTCGGCGCCGGTGTAAGTGGAATTCCTCTGTTTCCTAGTGTAACGTGAGATGATGGCTGACATGCGACAATAGTCTGTCCCCGACCCCACGAAGACCGTCATGATCAGGAAAATCTAAGTGGTCATATTTTCGGCATATTTCAAACCTCTTTCACCACATGTAGAATCTCTCAGAATGTCATATTTTTAGCGCGCAAAGCATCCATAGGGTCAGGTCATTAGGCATCACAGGGGTATCAATTCAAACTTCCATCTCATCAACACTGATCTGCTCCATCATGCTCTTCTTGGGCCACTCAATCCAAGGCCTCCACTCGTTGTCGATAACCTCATCCACCATAAGCATCACCCCCATACTCCACCCGGAACACGCCCAATCGTCCCGCCGCTCGCACATCCTTGACAAGGCCGCAAAGTGCGCCAGTATAACCAGCGCCGTCGCGTGCCCGCTCCCAATCATCTCGATAAACAGCGCCGGCAGCGTGACGCACCATCCCCACACGCCCCCGGGCATGGCCCCGTCGCCCGCCGCCGAGACGATCTGATGCGAGCGCCGCAAGCTCTCGAGCGCCAGCACGCACACGCTCTGCTCGTTGATAACGTCGTGAAAGGAGGCGGGCACCTCCCTCGCAAGCGCCGTGACCGCGTCAAGCCGCCGCTGGAACGCGCTGCCCGCGTTCATCATGCCGGGTGGGATCTCGGGCGAGCGCAGGAGCATGTCCAGCGGGCCGCCGCTCTGGCGCCACTCCTCGAGCGGCTGGAAGTCGAGGATGCCCTTGACGCCGTGCAGGAAGCGGAAGGACTGGGCGACGTCGCCGAGGCCGACGGCGCGGCCGACCGTCTCGGAGTGCGCGACGGAGTAGACGCTCACGATGAAGATGAGCGAGGCGAGGAAGAAGTAGGCCTCGCAGTTGGACTTGTCAATGTCGTTGAGGCGGGCGGCGAAGAAGCGCAGCGCAAGGTTCTGGTGGTGCACCGAGATGAGATCCCACTTGCGGCGCTCGGCCGGGTGGACGTGGGCGTAGTGCAGCGCCGCGACGGCCAGCAAGCCGTGCATGAGGAACTTCTTTGGAGGTTGTTAGGGGGATTGTTTTCCATATCGAGATAGAGTTCTCACCACCAACCAACCCGTGGGAGGGGGCTTATCCCGGGGAAGTGGGCAGTGGGCAGAGAAAGCCAAAAAAAAAAGACAAGACTTACATGGGAGCATGCCATCTCGGGTATAGCCGTCTTCCACAGCTCCTCAGTGCAGGCATCTGACGGCAGGGCGTTGCATGTCACGGTGCTGTAGTGGTGCATTAAGCGCAGGCTCTGCAGCCAATCCTCCGAGAGGAGGTCCAACCCTGGATCCGGGGCCGCTGAGCCGGCGGAGGAGGCGGAGTGGTGGTGTTGGTGGCGGGGGTCGACAAGTGCCGGGTCGCCTGCGTATGGTGACGTACTGTTCACTTTTTTCCCGAATGAAAGTTTGCTCGTTAGCCAAGCGCCCCTCGGAACGTTGAGGGTGACATGAACGACAGGCACATAACACAACCAAAGCAGGGTGATTGCAGATCGCCGTTCGTCCTGTTGAATACTCACCTGCTGTGGGTGTAAGACTGACATCGCTGGCAGCAGCAGCTGGAGCCGGAGCTGGGGCTGGCGTCGGCGCGGCCTCATGAGAGGCTTGTATCGGGACGTATCCTCCTACTCCCGGCAGCTTTGAGGTTGTCGTCGTTGGCGGCGTAAGGGGTGCCGTCACGGCCGGGTGAGGGTCCAGAAGGCTGCAATGCGCGCCGTGTGCGACGCAGCGGTGGCATGGCCTGTTCTCATCGCACTGGAAAAGAAAAGAACGCGCGTCAAAAAACCATCTCGCTCTCTCATGTTCCAAGCTAAGCGATTCTTGCTTGAAGTGCACCTTCCTGCGGCATCACAGTTCATCGTACCTTGACACGGCGGGCTTTGCATCGCACGCACCCGTTCCTCGACTTCTTGTGCCCAAGCCGTCGGGTGCGCTTCTCCATCGTTCAGCGACTGTCGCCAACCGACTGGGCGGTATGCGAAATGACGTTCTTTACGTTGGTGGATCGCTAGGGAAAGTGAGGTTGCGGCGTCCTCGTCAACGGCGACGGCGAGAGACGGGTTCGGGTTCGTATACGAGCGGTAGTACCGTGGGAGGGGGGAGTGTTCAGGAAACGAAGGGCCTCGAATCAAGGGGCCAGCGATTTTAAGAGAATGCGAGCAAATTGGTCCTTTACGACCCGCGGGGGCTCCCCCCCTGCCCCCTCGAGCAGTTAGCCTATGAGGGCATCGGGCGGTCCCGAATACGGGACTCGCAGCGGCCACAGGGCGGTGCAACGAAGAGTGATTTGTGGCATTCGTTGCGCTGATCAAGGGGGTGCCCGCGGGAGATTGCGGGGAATTCTTGCTAGGGCGCTGGTAGTGAGCCGCTGAGAGATGGCGGAATACGAATGCGGGGCGTACGGATGATGCGAATCCGAAGGTTTTGGCGGCTTGGTTGAACATGGCTCGGACGGGAGAACGTTTGCTAGTTTGAGATTGAGTGCTGCACGAGAATGCGGCAACTTGCAAGAGTTCTTCCTTTTCGTGTTTGAGGAGAAGCAAGTATGCGATGGCGCGAACTACATCGGGTTTCTTTTCGCAGCGAATACGGATGGGTATATTTGACATCTTTCTGTCGCAGTATACGCGGATTTGGACGTGGCCGTGGCTATGGTTGTTCATCTCGTCTTGAGACTGCTGGAAATGCGGTGATCCTTGCGGCGGTCGGCTCACCGGCACAATCAGTCAGGGAAATCCATTTCCATGCTTGTCAGCCTGGCGGTTTGAGGAACCGACCCCGAGAAGTTTGCGAAGGCATGAACACCGAGCCGTGCGAAGATATCGGGAGCTTCGTACAACCCAAGGGCTATGAGCTGTCATTTGGTGAGGTCGGGAGGTCGTTGGTTCATGGTGCTGACGCCGATGATCGTCGACGCTGCAGTAGCGTGCAGGAGAAGGTAGGAAGCATGACGGCGAGATTTTGGTACGACGTGGGCAAACGAAGTGTTTTGTTTGATGCCAAGCCGGAGGTTTCAACGGCGGATGTCTTGATGTGACCGTATCCAGGTCGTTTTGCGTATTGGTGATGGTAGGAGAAGGTGAGAATACGAGCTGCTGCAGTGCACTAACAATTTCTCGAATTCCTTATCTTATCGCTCCCAGCAGTGTGCCGTTGAGCAGGAGCACTTGACTCCCCTCGTTCCTTCTACACTGATGTAACCTCACACCGAAGGCAGGTCAAATCGACAGGGAAGCTGCAAAAGATCAGAAACTTACAACTGCTATTAAACCAAATCATTCTCGACACAGCATGGTCGGACGACTCACGACGCAGTCCTCGAGATATGGCAAAATCACCTCATATATGAACCGACCGCTAAAAAGCCTCGCCGAAGAAGACGACCGGTGGAATCCGGTCAGCGCTGATAATGGCACACAAGAAAAAGCAATATAGATTCTAGGCTCGGTGACGATCCAATGAGATTGAGATCAAGAACCCCCGCCGTCACAGAGTTGCGGGGTAGGTTCATCTCATATGCTCGAGAAACGGACGGATAAGGTAGTCCTTACGCTTCATGTCGCTTCAGGTGGTGATGAGACTCGATAACAGATTGACAATCAGCACATACTCATCCGTCAACGAATTCACGAGAACCAATGTCTCCAAGCCAAGTCATAAAGTCGGATCCCGGAACTCCTCCACACGGGGACAGCTCACGGAAGCGCCCAAGAGACAGTCCTGACAGTCTTGACCAGTCCAGCGCTCACGACACCAAAAAGCGCATGATCCGCCATCCCGCCGCGCCTCCGCCCTGTCCTCCCGAAGCAAAGCTCACCTTCGGCCGCTTCCCAGTCTCCCGCTCCATCGAATACAATCGGGACTTCAACCGCCTCGACATCACCGGCCCCCGTGGGTTCCACCACATCCGCCGCCCCAGAACATCCGCCCCAGACCGGACCTCAATTATCGTCGCCATCGCAGGCGCCTGTCCGAACAACGGCACCGGAGGCGCTCAGCGCTCATCCTGCGGCGTGTATTTCGGCGACAGCTGCCGCGAGACCCGAGGCTTCAGGGTCGACTCCGGACCCGCCACCCCGCACACGAACCAGCGCGCCGAGCTCCACGCCGCCATCGCCGCCCTCGATGCCGTGAAGCCGTTTTGCGAGAAGGGGGGGCATTGGGGCAGTACCACAAGCGTGGACAAACAGTGCAGGGTGACGCATGTCGTGATCAAGTCGCATTCATCCTACATCGTCGAGGCCGTCGGAGGCGGCAAACGGGGACAGTCCCCGTACATGAAGACGTGGATGGCGAACGGCTTCGTGACTGCCCAAGGTTGGAGCATAAAGAACCTCGACCTTTGGCAGGAAGTATTGCAGCACCTGCGGGATTTGCAGAATCTGGATTCGTTTGTTGAGTTTTGGCTGGTGCCGAAGGCTGAGAACCAGGCGGCTCGCGAGCTTGCGAGTGCGGGGCAATCCAGACGGGCTGCGGCAGAAGAAATGATGGCTTGCTTCAGAAACGCTTATGGCCCTTTCCCGACGGTGAAGAAAGAGCCAAAGTGACTCAGATGAGGTTGTCTGAGTGGTTGGCGCGGGATTCGTGCAAACGGAGCTCGTTTGCACGGAGACAGGGTCGTCTTTTGTCCCTCTACCTCCCGCCCCTACTCCCTAACATCTCTCACTCTTTCATCGACATCAGAGCCTCCAGCTCGTCTTCTGATCAACCTCGCCTTGGTCTTTCTGTTGCCATACGCAGATAGATCTGCTACGACGGGCTCACATTGCCGCCAACACCATGTCCGTCGCCACCCACTCAGATCACAAGACTTGCTTCGTGCCTGAGATGAACCCTCTCTGCATTGAGTCTCAGTTTCCAGACTCCCTCGAGGATGTGTACCAAGGCGACCTCGCCTTTCTCGAATCACCCGGTCCCGCCATCGATCCTAACGAAGGCCGTTTCGTCCATCTTCGCTGCTATCGACAGGACCCTAGCACCCTTCGTCGTGCCTCGCATTGCGACTCTCTGATCATCGCCGCCGGTAGCGCCTGTCTGGAAAACGGACCTAGCAAATCCGCCGTTGGCGTCTACTTTGGCCCAAACAACCCCTTTAACCTCTGCTTGAGGGTGCCCACCGAATACCGTATTGGAAAGGGAATTGAGAAACTGCTCTTGTGTCACACGACGCACCGCGCTGAGCTGTACGCCGTGATCGCCGCTCTCAGTGCCGTCACCCCTTTTACAGACCAAGCACCTGAAGATGCAGCAAACGGCAACATACCTAATACGCTTAAGCACGTCATCATCAAGACTGAGTCGTGGTACATCGTCGATAAGATATGCAGAATGGGAGCACAGCGGCCTCTTGTCTTCCACAAGGCTTGTGAAGCCGGTAAATCCGACCGCGGTTGCTTGGAGCACTGCAACCTTTGGGAGGAGCTGCGTCAGGAGTTGCATCGCTTTACCCTTCGCGGTGCTGTGGTGCAGTTCTGGCTTGTTCCTCGAGACCAGAACCTAGAGGCAGACGCATTGGCGAATATGGGCATGGAAAATCCCCCTTGGCCGTCTGTAGAAGACTCACAGATCTCGTCGTCTTGGGTCTCGCGCGTCAAGATTGATTCGGCTCTCAAGCTTAGAGAGTATGGTTGTTCCACGGGCTGGCAAGCATATTAGCGCATGGGGATGCGTGGCTGAGGGATTGTGGGCATGTGCTCGGCGTTTGTGGCGGTAACAGAGAAAATACATGTCTATCTAGCTTTGGACGAAGGGAGCGAGGAAAGAAGCAGTTGTTTTGTTTCTTTGGCAGACAAACTAATTCTCAAGTCATATATTTGCAAGCACCGATCGCTTTCATCAGCATTGCATACGTGCGCCTGCTGCTCTTGATCTCACGTTGACAACCAAACGGCCAGATAATTTCACTCACTGCCTGGATTTGATCAAATCGACCGCCTGTTCACAAGGTCAGTACACCATCAAATGTCACACTCTCAACCAGAAACAACTCACCTTCTCAGCCAACATATAGACCGTCTGCTGCGTATTCGCCCCAGGCAACATCGGCATAATACTCCCATCAACAACCCTCAACCTCTCCGTCCCATGCACCACAAGATCCTCCCCAACCACCCCACCCATCTCAAGCGGCTTCTTCGCAGCCGTCGCAATCGGGTGGAAATTCGTCGGGATGTACTGCTCCCGTATCCATCTCCGCAGCGCCTCACCCGTCACATTCCTCCCCGGCGACGTCTCCCGCGGCTCGTACGCCGCAAAGTCCGGACTGTCCATGTACCTCCGCATGAACTCGATTTCCTCGACCATGACGTCCAGATCCGTCGGGTTGCTCAGCGCGCGGTAGTCCACCACCGGCTCCGCCTCCGGGTCCGCCGGGTCGATGTTGATCGTCCCGTGGCTGACCACGTGCATGCTCATCACGATCCCGCCCGCGCCGCCCATCAGCGGGAGCCACATCATATTCGTGTTCTTGCTGCGCAGCAGCTTGGCGTGCAGCCTCTGGAAGGCCGCGTAGCCCGCTATAACCGTCGGGTGCGTATCCGCAGGCAGGAACGCCGCCGGGTCCTGCGCCTCGTACTGCGCGGCAATCTCCTCAAAGCGGTCCGCCGTCATGGTCGGCAGGCCGATCCACGCGCCCAGGTTCGGCGCCGCGACGCTCCATGGGTCGCCGTTCGCCGGCACCTCCGGGCCCTTGGGCCCGCTGCCGTTCTTCCCCCACTCGTACCCGACGCTGAGGTACGCGTGGTCCTGGAAGTTCTGGCCCACGCCGGGGATGTCCAGCAGGACCGGGATGCCGGCCTTGTCGAGAAGCGGCTTCGGCCCGATGCCGCTGAGCTGCAGGATCTGCGGGGTGTGCACGGCGCCCGCGGCGATGATGACCTCCTTTTTGGCCTTGACGGTGACGGATTGCCCGTCGCCGTCGCGGGAAAAGAACTCGACCCCGGTTGCTGCGGTTCCGTCGAAGAGCACCCGCCGGACTTTGTGTCGTGTGATCACGTCAAAGGTTGGTCTCTGGATGCCGTCGTAGTGGCCTGTTCGCGAGTACGATCGTCTGTACGTCTTGGGGTCTATGGACGAGGGGAACCAAAAGAGGCCGTTGTCGCCGCCGGCGCCGTCCAGGGGCACCTCCATCCGCGGCATCTTCTTGACGGCTTGGTAGGTGGGGACTACGAACCAGTCAGCTTTTCGTCCCTGACGTCTGAAATTTTTGATTCCACAAACTCAGCGTCGGGTTCTGGTACTCGGGGAACGAGGCAAAGATCTTGGTGTTCTCTTCCATCCCCCAGGCTTCCAGGTCCCAGGTGATGTTGAACGCCTCGGCGAGCTCTTCCTCGGGAGGGGTGAAGTGGACGGCCTGGAGTCAACATCAGTGACTGTAGCACACACAAACTGTGATTATATGGCGTCAACCTTCTTGAAATACGGCAAGACGCCGTCCCAGTCCCAAGTCGAGCCGGGTCCTCCCAACTCCGCCCAGCCGTCGTACTCGATTTTGGTCCCGCGCACCATGACCATCCCGTTGATGGCAGAGCTACCTCCAACGCAGCATCCTATCCAAACAAACTGTGTTCTGTTATTCATCTCGGGCTGTGGGATCGAGGTGATGTTGTACTGAATCCCGAGGTCGTTGAAGTTGCGGCCCTTGCCTGCTTCGATGACCTCGTCCGATACTAAAAAGACATCAGGGGGAAACTTCGGAGGAGACATCAACGCGAAATACTCACTGAGGTGGCAGTACTCAATCACGAGGACGGAGTCTATGCCGACTGTAAGCAGCGCCTCAACTTCCAAAGGGCCTCGTCACTGACTCTTCCCGTCTTCGCTCAGCCGGTCGGCAACCGTCAACCCGGCCGTGCCAGCTCCGACGATGACATAGTCATACGCATCTCTCACTTGTTCCGTTCTCTCGAGAATTGTTGCAGATTCCAAGAGCATCGGTCTCGCGATGATAGATGGCACCGCCAGCATCACGAGCACGCCCGCAAGCGTCACAGTCGATCGAAACATCATGACGGGAAAAAGCGCAGTCAAGCTACCTGCATCATGACCCTCCTCTGCTCTATGCATCCCAGGAAGACCTTCGTTCTTTTAAACATCACAACGTCGCAATGCCCAGACTTCTCTTCTACCTAAATGGTCATCTAGAACCAAAAGCTCCGTTCCGAAAACCCAGCCAACAACAATTCAGCCGTCAGCAACCAAGAACCCCAAACGCGGGGATCGCGCCTCAAATGCAACCCTCACCTCGGACTCTGGCTGATGGATGTCCTGAGAGAGTCATCCCCAAATTACCCCATTGGAAGAACCAGACTTTGGCAGCTTTGGGGTAGGGAGTCTGACAGGCGTCGCCTCCTATCTCCCGCCGCGCTGTGATGCCAAGATTGCCTACGGATTCTCGCAGACGCAGTCAGCAAACCCCAATGCCGCCGATTCTGCCTCTTTGCTAACCATCAACGCAGTCGGGTCTGATCTTGTCGGTAATGAGTATCGACCTCGAGAAGTCGCCATATTTGTACGTAACATTGTCAGATGTTCCTGCCAAGACACCAAGAGCTGCAAGGGCATGATACCCCCTGCCGGCTCACGGAATCTCCTCATTTTCGAGAAAAGCAAACATGGTCTTCTCTCATCGCTGCTAGTACTCAAAATTGGATACCATCGAATGGTCAGATGACTCCGCAACTACCGGGTCGAAGTCACATTCGCACTTCTTCGTTCTAATTGAATAGCTGGCACCATACCATCGAGTGCTGAGTCTCCCCACGTACCACTTCGTGACAACTGGACGGGCTTCTCCAGGCTCTCAGCACGTGTTTGAAGTCATATGTACAATACCTACCACGGGTCGTTCCGAGGCGCCAATCTAGCACCATGTTCGCCCACGACTAACCCGAAAACCTCGCCAAACCCTCTTATCCTCCCGACCTCACATACCTCATCATCATCGTCCCATCCCGCCGGCTCCGAAAACCGGTGACGCCCCAAGGACCCAAAAGACCCCTTCAAATACGAAGCCGTCTGCACCTACGCGCCTAGCGCAAGGTTTCCCGTGCATATTAATATCCCCAACACTGCACGCAAAAATGGACTGCGCTCATCAGTCTTCGCGCAGATAACCACCAAGCTCAAGACGGCAGGTCGCTACAAGGCCCTTGACATCGCAAATGGCGGGTTGGAGTCTTGGCTTCCACGGTGAGGTTCCCTCGGGAGTGGAGATGTCACCTCGTCGGCTGCCGCAACGGGACAAAGCTGCCGGGGTCGCGCTTCCGCGTCGATGTTCGATACGAGAAAATCGTCAACGCAACATGGCATCACGCAAAAAGGACGATTTTGAGGAGGTGATTGCCCGGACTCCGACTCGGACCGGGTTTTCTTCATAAAAGGCCACTCTCGCCAACTCATGATGTGGAAGAAGGAGGGGAGGTCAGGCATTGTGCACTCAGCTCGATCGCCCGGATTCTGAGATCCTCTTCGTTCGTTTTTGGAGGTCTTGTCATTCGTTTTTTTGGTTGTTTTAGCCGACCATGCGTGTTGCGAGTGCGCTTGTGTCCGCGCTGGCCTTGGCCGGCACGGGTGTTGCCAAAATCTCCCGCCGTGCTGTTGACGAGAATGTCCGTCCGTCTAACGACACTGCTGTCGAGCCCAAGAAGTTCATCTTGGAGCTCGAACAGGTAAGCTTTTCCCACTATCAACGACATCAAGCCGCAACATGATGCTGACCCCCGTCAGGGAGCCGATAAAGATGCCCTCGTCAAGGAGATCGAGACCAAGGCGGGTAGCAAGGTCCTGAAGGTCTTCGACTCGTCCATCTTCAGCGGTATCGCCGTCGAGTCCGACAGCGAGAACACCGACTCGCTCGAGACGCTCCTTCCCGTCGTCAAGGCGTGGCACTCCAGCCGCATCCAGCTCGCGCCCGTCGTCACCGGGGACTCCTTCAGCGACGACGCCGCCGCGCTCAACTACTCCATCCACTGGATGACCGGCGTCGACAAGCTCCACGAGCAGGGCATCCTCGGCAAGGGCGTCAAGGTCGGCATCGTCGACACCGGCACCGAGTACACCCACCCCGCCCTGGGCGGCTGCTTCGGCGCCGGCTGCAAGGTCGCCGCCGGCTACGACTTCGTCGGCGACGACAACTACTGGCCCTACCCCGGCGAGGAGCGGCAGCCGGACGAAGACCCCATGGACGCCGCCGGCCACGGCACCCACGTCGCCGGCATCGTCGCTGGCAAATCGTCCGAGTTCACCGGCGTCGCCCCCGAGGCCACCATCTACTCCTACAAGGTTTTCGGCCCCAACGAGGGCACCGGCGAGGAGGTCCTCATCGAGGCCTTCCTCCGCGCCTTCGCCGACGGCGTCGACATCATCACCGCCTCCGTCGGCTCCACCGGCGGCTGGGCCAACAACGCCTGGGCCCTCGTCGCGGACCGCATCGTCCAGCAGGGCGTCGTCGTGACCATCGCCGCCGGGAACTCAGGCGACGTCGGCCCCTTCTTCGCCAGCAGCGGCGCCTCCGGCAAGGAGGTCCTCGCCATCGGCTCCGCCGACGCCTCCATCGTCTCCGCCCGCCAGTTCGCCGGCACCTTCAACCTCGACGGCCAGTCCAACCGCACCATCCTCGGCTACCGCCCCGCTGAGGACCTCTTCCCTGCGGACAT